AAAGATGGACGACATGCTGCCAAAATATCCTGTATACAAACACCCCCATCTTGCACGTTTGGAGCCAGTGTCTGCACGGTAGCGATTGGGGGACTGAGTCACCGTAGCAAGGTCTCATCGATAAACGCACTAGACCAATCCTGAATCAGTCTCAGCTTTCAACAGTGACGTTTCATCCTGTTTCTATAGCATCAAATAACAAATTCAGACCAAACTAAACTTGAAGACTCTAACACTACTCCAGCCACCAGGTGGCGTTCAACACTTCTTGGCTTCACTATTGGGGAGACATCAAGTTTACCATTACCAGTAAACCATCTTTACTTACAGTCTGTGGTTTATTTGTGTCTGTTTAGTCCAGCTAATACTGATGTATTGTGGGGACTTAACAAGGAAAAGTTTGGGGTTAGTACTGTGGTTATGGTTAGAATAAGCCCTGAAGTCATGGAGACAAAACAATCTGGATGTCTCTGTGTGTGTGTGTGTGTGTTTGTGTGTGTAAGTGAACCTACTCACCCACAGCCTTGAGCGAGGTGTACTTGTTGAAACCGATTCCCAGGTTGTTATGAGGGTGAGACAAGGCCATGGCCGGACCCAGGGGAGACAAAGCTGCGTTGTTCAAATGGTTATGATCTACAGGAGAGAGACAGACAGAGAAACAAATATGAAACACAGATATGAAAAGTTAATGTAAATTGCAGGTTGAGCTCATCTTTTTACAAAAAAATGTAAAGGAAAATAAGCTTTTGAAAAAAACTGACACACTGTCCATAGTTTTTATTTTATTTTTAACAAGGGTTAAAAGTTAAAGAACTTTTCACCAATGTGGAAAAAAATGTTCCAAGTTTTAATTTAAGAATAAAAACCTCCGAGCTCTGAAGAAACAAGGTCAGGATAGGATTACTTCACTTCTCTAACGTCGTCTTTCCAGAATTCCAAAAGTTAAACCGTTTTCACAGGGGAGTACAAGAACACACATAAACACGCACGCACGCAAGCACACACACACACACACACACACACACACACAAAGAAACAAACACACACACCTGATACCCGCGTCCACCAGCCCCACGATGACTGAGACGCATCAGTAAGAATCAAGCGAGGAGAAAATGGGAGAGTGAAGCGGGGAGAGCGGGCGATGCAGGGATGAAGCTGGAGAGCGAGGGATGTGACACCAGTGCTGAGTGATTGAATTAGAAATAGATCTTCACTTCCCCGTGTAATTGATATGCAGTGGTGACACGCTGTGTGCTGCGTGGAGCGCGGGGAAGCACAACTGTGCATTTGTAATTTTATTCCTGTGTAGATGCATGTGTGTAAAATTGTTATTGTCTTATGTGAAGTTCTGGTCCCACCTGCTCTCCTCACTCACTCATCACCACCAGGACAATAGAAATGTGATGGTGCGCAACCTTCAATCAACCACATAAACAAACACACAGACGCACACAAGACGAATTGAAAACTGCCTGTAAGTTGTTTTAAAAAAAAATAATAATATGCAGACGCTGCTCTTTTATGTGCCCTATGTTTGGATGCCATGTTCTCAAGCGTGATCAACTCGAGTGAGAGTTAAAGGCAGAGATAGACAGGGGGGGGAAAAAATCAACTAATTGATGGAAAGATCTCTGGCCGGCCTCCAGTTTGACCACAGGGCTGTTCCTGGCCATCAGAGAGAGAGAGAGAGATAGTGATGGAGAGAAAGAGAGAGGTATTTTGTAATGTGTTATTATATTGTTGTCTTTTTTATTCTTAACCAGAATGTCACTCAGTCAAGCGCCTATCTCCAGTCCATTCAAGTTCGGTCAACATGCACCAAATCAAATTGCACACACTCATAGTATCGGTTCTCTGAGTATGACTGATTGTGTCAAAGAATCTGCTCCAGAAGGCTGTTGGGTTCTTCCTCGGCTCACGTCCCACCATTCCACCAAGTTTCAGTTCATAGTTGTTATCATGTAAACCAGATCAAACACAGAAACAGCCATGAGAGCAGAACCTCCTCAGTGGAGGTGACGATCGTTAGTAACGAGCCTTTGGACGAGGTATTGGAATATTGGATGTGGAGGAGTGGGAGTTGATTTTACTGGAAAGAAGAAAACTGCAAAACTGTCAAAATGAAATTTCTCAGTGAAACAGTAGTTCATGCTAGCATAGCAAATTAAGCATTGCTAACATCAACCTGGCTACATGTTCAACCGTAAACAAATACATGCAGCTTTCTATATCCTCTGAAATCAGCTATAATGAAATGTTTGCATTTTAAGAAATAATATTCACTTGATGATATCTAAGGTCACTAATGTGTATTTTTTTCTTCCTGCCTTCGTTCTATCAATCCCAGGAAACTGTCAAATTGGTAGAGAGGAGACTGAAAGAGAGAAAAAAAATCTTCCCTGCATTCTTGAATAAATTTCCTCTGAATGTCCTACATTTTTTGCTTTGTGTGTCTGTGTGTTTGTGTTTATTTGTGTTTATATGTGTGTGTGTGTGTGTGTGTGTGTGTGTGTGTGGTTCAGCGTGTGCATATTTCTTTATTGTGTAGTATAGAGGCCTCAAAGGAGAAGCACTCATAAGAATTCAAATGTATGTTTATTAAAGAGAAGCGGAAACGAAGTGTATGAATGTGATTCACAATGTGTGTGTGTGTGTGTGTGTGAGACAGAAACAGTGACGGGAACTGTGGGACTCCTAATAGGAAATGTTTGTGGACCTGTTTCAGTGAATATATTATTTAGGGCTGCATGTGTGTGTTTGTGTGTGTCCACTATCACAGTGTGAGAAGCAGCATGTGTACTTTATTTTGCATGCCCATGCTTTCCTGCCAGCATGCATTTGTTTTTGTACGTATGCATGTGTGTGTGTGTGTGTTTGCAGGCAGGCAGCAGAGCACCGCTGGGTGATGGCCTAATTCAGCAGGGCTCAACATCAAAGAGGCTGACTGCTGCAAGGGCTTCAGCCAGCCCTACTCTGACATGAGCACTGTCTCTCTCTCTCTCTCTCTCTCTCACACACACACATACACACACAGAGAGAGAGTGAGGGGGGGGCAGCAGTGTGGGGAGCAGAGGCTTGTGTTGTTTAATGCATGGAGCATAAATCAAACTCAACTCAAACTTGCATCTCCCTCTACCTCAACTGTTTGATGCACAGAGCACTGCAAGTTTAAGTCCTGCGAGCCACACTAGGCCAACACGAGTGCACTTATGGAACTGTAGGGCACACTGGATGAACAGCCAAGTGGCGTCTATGTCACATCGTTTCATGTGAGTGTAGCGGAGAAGCAGAGGGAAGGAAAAAGCAAGGACTGAGAGGGCAGGACAGGTCAGCGGGCAAGTTTACTTTATGACACATACTGGGAAACTGTGCTCTGATTTCTACTCGGGATAGAACATTTTCTATACTGAGCATGTAACATAAAATGCACCAGCTGTTTATGAGGCTGGTCTGCATGTTTGCCTACGTGCACATTAAACTATTAGAGCAGAAGCTACTGAATCATACACACTCACTGCATCCAACCAGTATTACCCGAAAAGCCTTTTTAAAGAATATAATTCTGATTTAGTAATTTTATTTTAAAGACTTTGTTCAACATTTGAGGGCGTATTATCTTTCTTGCCCATAGTTAGATCAAGAGATCAAGTCCACCTTCATGTCTCTACGCTAAATATGCAGATGCTAGACCCGGCAGCTGGTTAGCATAGCTTAGCATAAAGACTTGCAGCAGGGGGAAGCAGCTAGCCTGGCCTAAAAATTGTATCAGTATTAACACAGCTCACTGCCACTCGTGATTCTAAAATATCTTTATTGTTTAATCTTCACTTTTAGCTGCTGCGATACAGAACATAATGAAAATGAGTCATTAACATAAAACATGTGAGCTAAGTGTAGAAGTGTTGCATGTTAAAGCTTTCAGTGGGGGGGCATGTGTGCGACATATGGTCCTCCATTATTATCTCAACGTGCTACAGCAGAATAAATACACGCCAACATTTGTTTGAGGTGTTGTGGAGTACAACATGCTGTAGTCCCTCTAAATCACGCAAACACAGGAGGAGGAGCAGATGCTGTTTCCATCCTCTCTCTCTCCTCCTCCTCCTATTCTCTCTCCATGTTACTACTTATCCATATCTCAGCCTTTTCCCAAAGTAAAAAGTGCACAAGAAAACAACAAATTAATATATATCATAATAATGATAATAAAATCTGCTGGGGAAAAAAATCGAAAGGAAGGCCAAAGAGAAGAGATGTGTCCTTAACATTGATTTGAATTGTTGGAGAGAGGGGGCAGAACTAATATGGAGTGGTGAGCTGTTCCACAAATTTGGGGCGGCTACTGCAAAGGTTCAATCGCCTCTTATTATGAGTTTCACATCCAGGAGCAGCGTGTCTGACCTCAGCTCTCTAGCTGGAGTGTAGGGTATAGGTCCCAGAACAGAACCTTGAGGGACACCACAGGTAAGTGTCACGTGCCTCTTCCTGCTTCAGTAGCTGTTCCTTTCTTACTCCCTCCCTCCTCCTTCCATTTGGTGACCTGCTTCTTCCTGTAACTCTCCTCGTCTTACTCTTTTGTTCTCTACACCTCAGTCGGAGGCAGTGTTAACTTATTCACCTTTAGTTCTTATTTTGACTTGTATTATAGTGGATGCTCATCAGATGAGGATGAAAAGTGCTCAGTGTATTTTTCACAAATTTAGTGATGAGAATACCTTAGTGTACAGGAAATGTATAATCCTATCAGAGGGTACAGACAAATTAAATTTCAGTTTGGACAACTTGTTTGTTTGAAGGATTAAATAAATAAGTAAATTAATATAATGACCTGTAGCACCTCTATCACTGTAGTTCATTTTGTAGTAAGCTACAAACACTAACAGCAACCTCCCACTCACTGTTGACATTAAATGTAAATGTTGGTTTACAGTGATTGGGATTATTTAATGCAAACAGGCACGTTAACAAAGATGAATGATGAAATGACCAGAAAGAGTAACAGCACCAGGCTCGCCTGCTCATTTAATAATCTCCCTCTTACATGCTTCTCTCTCACTTAAGTCTCTCTTGTCTGTGTGTGTTAAATGGAGTCATTTCAGTACACTGCATCCAGTGTGGACGGACACCCCCCCTCCCCCTCCCCCTTTCTGCCTCTCACACACTCTATTTGCAGGGTAAACGAAGGCTTATCCCAGGATGACACCATTATTTTCTGCCTTTAGCCCACACATTGAATGCATTGAACTCTGGCTCTCTGTCTGCTCAGCATTTTACATAATTCAGTGGACGGCCATACATCTACACACACACACACAGACACACACACACAAAGTTCACACTGGTGATAAACATGGGAATGACAGAGCCTTTTCCTTTTAAAACATTCCCACTGGAGAGATGGTAGAAGAGGCCGTGGTGTGGAAGGGAGCCGGGAGGACATAAAGAATTGTATAATGATGTTAACACCAGCAAGGTCACAGAAATATTACGTACGAAGTAAATTACAATAAGGAGTGTTATTTCTTGAGGACATTCTTTAAGGTCTTACAACGGTCGCTGTAAATACCCAATAAAACTTAACAATCTGTCATTTGGTGCTGGGCAGAAATGGTACAGTAGATTTATCAGAG